CATCAATGGATGACAACTACAAATTCTCAAAAGCTTCACACTATCTTGATCAAGATAGTGTGAAGCAAAATCAATTCATGGTACCCAACAAAAGCTTCAACTCCAAAGCTTCACCTACAAAGCTTCAACTTCAAAGCTTTACCTATAAAAGCTTCACCCACAAAAGCTTCAACACAAAAGCTTCACCAACAAAAGCTTGACCTACAAAAGCTTGACCTATAAAAGCTTGACCCACAAAAGCTTGACCCACAAAAGCTTGACCTATAAAAGCTTGACCCACAAAAGCTTGACTTATAAAAGCTTGACCCACAAAAGCCTACCCTACAAAAGCTTCACCCACAAAAGCTTGACCTACAAAAGCTTGACCCACAAAAACTTGACCCACAAAAGCTTGACCCACAAAAGCTTGACCCACAGAAGCTTCACCCACAAAAGCTTGACCTCCAAAAGCTTGACCCACAAAAGCTTGACCTACAAAAGCTTGACCCACAAAAGCTTCACCCACAAAAGCTTCACCTGCAAAGCTTCAACACAAAAGCTTCACCTACAAAAGCTTCACACTATCTTGATCAAGATAGTGTGAAGCAAAATCAATTCATGGTGGCCAACAAAGCTTCAACCTCAAAGCTTCACCTACAAAGCTTCAACATCAAAACTTCACCTACAAAGCTTTAATATATATATATTTATTTTTTTTTTCGGAAATTCAAAAATTCAAAAATTCGAAAAAAAAAATTGCCTAGGCCTCCTCTTCTTTGGGCCTAACAACTTTCATAACAAATATATATGAAGAAGAAGTTTTGGGCTACCACTTAGAAAGGAAATGCCTCATTCGTCAACTCCCTCGACCGGAGACTTGGGGGACTCCTACCATATGCTACTACACCTTGATACTCGGAAGTCTCACGACCACTCAATGACTTGGATTTTTCAAGTCTCCAAACGAGAAGTTTTCCTTACTCGGGAAATTAAGGGAGTACTACCTCAACCTACATGCTTCACTCACAAAGCTTCAACATACAAGCTTCAACAAAAGGAAAAATTCAAAGAACTTAGTGAAGAAGGTCTTGGTGTATTTAACACAATACCTTGAAATGAAGCAAAGCTTGTTTATTGATATCTCCGATAAGTTACAAATATGTACATATACATGAATCAAAATAAACAAACAAGAGGGAGCCTTCACAAAGGTTGCTCAGGAGAAGTCTCAGCAGTCGGCAGAGCCCCAGAAAGAGGAGGCACCAGAGGGTGATTATTCGGAGCCTCAGTACTAGGCAGAACCCTAGAAGGAGGAGGTACCAAAGGTTGATCATTTGGAGCTTCATTAAGCGGTACAGCCCCAGAACACGAAGGCAATAAATGCCTTTGGAACAAACCCACAAACCTCTGATGATCAAGTAAAATCTGACCATCAGATTCCTGCAGCTGGTCGAGCTTTCTCTTCATGTTTGTAGCATAGTCATGTGCGAGCCTGTGCAACTGCTTATTCTCATGCTTGAGCTCTCTGATCTCCTGTTTGAGACTTATCACTTCAGCCGCCAATGATTCAACTTGGAGGGTTCGAGCAAATAGGCATTGGGCCATATTAGACACAAAACCTGCACACTGAACACTGAGAGCCAGAGAATCCTTAACAATCAACTCATCAGACCGTTTGGAAAATAGTCTGTTATCTTTGGGAGTGAGAAGGTTCCTGGCCACCACCGCAACTGTCATATCATTCTTCATCATAGAGTCCCCAACGGTAAGATGACTAGTAGGAGATAAGAAGGATGGGCGCCATATGTTGTCTTGAGAAGGCATTGCTGCCTCTTCACCAAAGTTCAAGTCAAAACGACAGTCGGATGGGCCAGACATTCTCAGAAATAATGAAGGAGAAATGAGGTGCAATAAATCTCTAAAGTAAAGGGAAAATTCCTACAAGCAATAACTCTCTGAATGTAATTCTTACACACAATTGGTGCCCTTATAAAAGAAAGGGCAACAGGGTCGTTGGTTCAAAAATCGAAGAGGCACCACTCTTCGGATTTCAAAGAGGCACCACTTTCCACACATAACATTAGCTCCTCGGGTACCACAGATAACTTTGCCAAAGATCTCTGACAAAGTTTAGACACATAAATTTTGAAGATCCAGCTACCCTACTATTACCCACAAGGGTAAATGAACAGCACCACTGCTTGATAACTAGAAAGTCCCAATGTGTGTCAACCTCCGTGCTCCGTGGCAAGGCAGATTGGCAAAAATGCCTAACCTTTACTCACATTCGAGAAAACACTCCCAACATGATTGCTTTCTCAAAAATCGAAGAGGCACCGTTCTCTGAATCTCGAGAGCCAGACTCCCAACAGGATTACTTTCTCAAAAATCGAAGAGACACTGTTCTCTGAATCTCAAGAGTTAGACTCCCAACAGGATTGCTTTCTCAAAAATCGAAGAGGCACCGTTATCTGAATCTCGAGAGCCAGATCCCCGACAGAATTACTTGTTCGAAAACCGAAGAGGCACCGCTCTCCGAACTTCGAAAGCCAGATTTCCTTGGATAAAGTTTGTCTGCAATCTTCACACGCAACATCAGCTTTCCAGATACCATAGACCACTTTTTCAAAGTGCTATGACAAAGTTAAAACATGTGAAGCTTGCAGCTCCCACTACATTGCTATGACCAAGAAGGGTAAATGAATAGCATTATTACTTACTCAAAAATCGAAGAGGCACTGCCCTCTGAATCTCAAGTACTCATCTTCAACATCTTATGCTTCCAGAAAAATACCACATCTGCCTGAGGAACATATAAGGCAAGTGAGAAGGATACAAGGAAGCATGTGGAGACAAGCGCAACAAAATACATGCCGATTCATCTATTACTTCGTCAACAGCAAAAGTATCCCATATCATCAAGGTCGAACGCACTCTTGATTTGATGGACTTGTTTTGACCCTCAAATTCTTGAGTCGGCCTTATACTCTGGAGGAAACCAGAAAACCCTCCAGCCCAGTTCAAGAATAAGCCTGTGGAAAGTTACTTCTTCAAAAGCAAAAGTATCTCATATCATCTCTTTTCCATTTGCTTCTCCTTATCCTTGTTGCTGTTTACGACACAAGAAGAAGGAGAACAATCAACCGAAAGCCGAAGTCGAACCTTCGATCCAGGTTGCTTGCTTGGAAGTCTGATTGCTTACCTTGTCTGTTACTTCTTTCGGCAAATCTCCTAGCTCGGCGACTTGGGGGACTCCTACTATAGGGTTTTGTATTGCACTTGACCAAGCCCGAAACTACAAGTAAGCTTCATGTGAAATTGATACATTACCTTGTGCATCTTCATTGGTTAAAGATACCACCCCTGGATGGAGGAAAAGTACTTCCACAGAAGATGCCACATCTACGTATGAGACAAATAAGGCAAGTGAAAATAATACCACACTTTGGTACTTAGAAGTTTCGTGATTACTCAATGGCTTGGATCTTGCAAGTCCCCAACCGAGGAGCTTCCCTCACTCGGGAATTTAGGGGAGCACTGTTTGTACCATACTTGACCAATCCCGAAACTACTGAGCACCGGTCAACGTTATACCGTCAATGACTCAGAAGAGTTTCCCTCCAACCAGGAGGCCAATCACAGCGCGACACACGTCGACACTAGAAGCAAATCATAGCACGACACGTGTCAACATTAGAAGCCAATCACAACACGACACGTGTCAATGTCAGAATGAAACTAGAAACTCTCTTCTATAAATAGAGATCATTCTCTCACAATATTTTCGAATGTCATTTGTACTAAATCATTCACTTGTACTCACTAAAGGAAAGCTTGAACCTATGTACTTGTGTAAACCCTTCACAATTAATGAGAACTCCTCTACTCCGTGGACGTAGCCAATCTGGGTGAACCACGTACATCTTGTGTTTGCTTCCCTGTCCCTATCCATTTACATACTTATCCACACTAGTGACCGGAGCAATCTAGCGAAGGTCACAAACTTAACACTTTCTGTTGTACCAAAGTCCTCACTGATTTTGTACATCAACACAGTTATTCAACTACATCAAGTGATCTTTTAAACTGGTCAAGATTCTCTAGTTTATGGCTGCTTCTTTATAGTTCTAGTTGTTGCTTCATTAATAGGCTCACGATTCGACTTTGATCATTATGGACTAGAACCACGATTCAATCTACTTATATTTACACCTTATTTTGCTTATTTGACCAGATTGAACTAAGAATGCTTTCTTATCACAGTAGATACCACTATAAAAGAAAATGATTTTTTTGTACCCTCAATACATCTTGTTTGCATGCATAGTCTCATTAAAAAAAAGAATTTTATGTCCCAAAATTTGAATCAAATCGAATGGGTCCTTCGTTACTGCCCAGAGGAGAAGTCATGGGTAGGAATGACAGGATTGGTACTTGTAACTTTTTGTAACCCAAAAAAAAGGCGCTGCCAAGGAGCACTACATCCCTTTCAATTAGACTACCATGGTCATTGTACAGAATCCCTGCCCAGTTTTCCACATTGTTATTTTCTCCATCGGTATAAAATCTCTTTTCCATTAAGGCCGAACCTAAATTTATCCTTGAGATATAGCTGTCCATATACTGATAAGGGATGTATGAATTCTCAAGAAGAGATGAGCTATGGTGGTCCGGCCTCCTGGACTGCCTGGATCCCACGAGTGAATAGAAAGTTGGGATCTACATTGGATCTCACTTGAATCGCCCCCTCTATCCTCTTGAGTAGAAGTTTGGTTTCAAACCTCAATTCGAATAGAAGAAGTAACCATGCTAATGTGCCTTGGACGGTCTACATCTCAGGGTCAAGCGCTGAAGAGCACATTAAATTATCCTTGTGGCTAATACATTTAGATGTTCGAACGATCTATACTTTCTAATAATTTTTTAGGAATGATCTTCAAATGAAGATTAAGATATTGAACGATTTGATTATAAGTTTATATTATCAATATATATCATTCGTAATGAGAAAAATATGTACATTCCGAGCAGATAAAATATTATTATCCTTTTCTAATCATAGATTGATGTCAGACAACATTCCATTCAAGATGGAGAAATAAACCACCTTCTCATCTCCCAGCAACCCGAAATGTATATCATGCTTGCAGTTGCACTTAAACCTATAAGCTTACTTATGAGTAACAAAAGTACAGGTTTAATTAAAACATAATAATATGTACAACGAAAGAAGTTTGCAGATTTCAAAACTATAGTACATGCCACAAAAACACTAGGAGACATCAACTCGTACGAAACATTCATCAGGAGGCGGACTTGTTGAGCTCAATGACGATCACAGTAATATTATCTTTACTCCCCCTCGCCAAAGCCAACTGCGCCAACAAAGCCGCCGCGTCCGCCGCCGCATTCGATCCGCTCATCCCCTCCGACGACCTCCTCTTCTTGTCCGCATCCAGGCACCTCCGCACTACCTGACACGCATGCTCGTTCGAAACGACATCCCAAATCCCGTCGCTCGCAATCACGAGGAAGTCGCAGTACTCGGTCCTCTCGCTTATCGTCACCTCCGGCTCCGATATCACGTACGGCTTCAGGTAGTGGTCGCCGATCGACCGCGACGTAGCCAGAACTCCGAGGACGCGGCATCCGTTACAGTTGATCACTCTCCCTCCCGCTGCCTCCACTCTCTCGCGCTCGTCGGGTCGGTCCGGGTTGTGGTCACGTGACAGGGGAATCGCCACGCCGCCTCGGCACAGAACGGCACGTGAGTTTCCAGAATTGGCCACTACGACCTCGTTTTGCCCCACAATCACCACCACTGCACTGGACCCCACCGTGTTCACCCTATTACCTTCCGTGTCGGCGCCAACGACACTGCCGCCGACCTCCTCGTCCATTTTGGTGAAGCACGAGGCCATGACCTTCTCCCAGTCGACCACCCCCTCGCCACCGCGTATCCACGGCTCCACCTCCTGAGCCAGGAGGTGGTGCAGCCGATCGCGGCACGCGTTCGACACTGAAGAGCCGCCGTGGCCGTCGTAGACTGCGAAGAACTGGTAGGAGTCTACCGTCGTCACGACCACGGCGTCATTCATCACTCTCCGCCGTCCTATCAAGGAGATCGAGCCGTATGAGAGGCAGGATGTCCTCGTCAACATATCCTTTTCATTCTCCTCCTCTGCGTTTCCGCTTCCTCCTACAGCGGAAACAAGGATTTCAGTGGGGGATTGGGGATTCTCGGAGGACCAGTGGGTGGAGGAGGAGGAGGGATCGTGCTCTTTCGAAGACGAAACCGAAGCAAGCTCGTGGGAGCACCGGTCGGTGATGCTCCTCTGCCTCCTATTCACGTAGCAATTCTCAAATCGAGAATCGACATCCTGCAGAGTTAGACTCTCCATTTGAAGAAGAAGTCGAATCGGATTGGCGAATCGAATCGTGCGGACAGAGACTGAAAAAACTGTCACTTAGATTCCACCATTTTGTTGTTATTTCAGAGTTTTCTGAGCTGGTGAGAAACAACATATCAGCCTGAGGAGGACTGAAACATTTATATAAAAGGGGAGAAAGATGAAATCTGGACCGTTGGGAGGGGATGGATGGGGGATGGTGGACGCGTGTGAGCGTTGTGTGTGTGAAGGCGGTAGGGTTTGAAGGTTTAAGGAGTGATGAGGATTGAGGTTTTTGGGAGGGGGGTGGAGGGGAACCGCGACACGTTGACAGTGCAGTTAAATTCCAAGTGGTTAGGGTTTCGGTGGGAGATGGTGACGTGGCCACTTCCAGGATACCCAAACGTTCGGGTCCCCATGAGTCAAGAGACGTTGCGTTTAGAATTCTAACCGCGGCGGTCCAAACGGTGCTGTGCCGTGCCGCCGCTGCATGCTCCTCTCTCCCCAACTCCAAGTGGTTTGAGTTTCGTTTGTTTGACACGTCGTTTCAGTTTAATGGGAATGCTTGGATGGATGCCCTACGTGGTATTTGGAACTGGTTCTTCACTTCGTTAAGCTCGTTTGGAAAATGCAGGAGCTAATTTAACAACACGTAACGGTTGAAATATAAGCATTGAGCTGATTTCTTAAAGCTCAAGCAAGTATTTTTTAATGTAATTTTGTTTTTTCTTGTCTGTTAGTAAGTAAAAGGACTGCTGAGATTAGTTTTCGATGTAAGGCTCGTAATGTTGCCAGCTGTCATAGCAGCTGGTGGTGTGAGTTCACAAATTTGAAGTGTAAAGAGAGAGTGCAACGATTACTTCTCTTCTCCTTCTTCCTCAATGAATAATGTGATCTGCAGATAATTTCTTTTTGCTGCATATTTTCCTTCGATTAATCCCTTATCATTTATACAAAAGTTAACATGGTATCAAAGCTCCGTTTGATCTGAATCGAGGGGTAAATAGGGAAGTCCAAGCAACACTAGGACCTATGATAATATAGTGTCTATGATATAAGTGTATGTTGATCAACTTGAGGGATTTATAGTTTCAGGTTCTAAAGACGAAGTGTTTTTTGAGCTTTTTATGACTTGAAACAAGCTCCAAGAACTTCGTATGAAGACATTAAGACCTAGTTTGGGAGTGAGGTGCTTAAAAAAAAAGCACCCATGAAAAAAAGCTGTGAGGGTTTTAGGTGTTTGGTAAACCGAAAAAAAAGGGCTTATTTTGGAAGCTGCTGTGAGAATAAGCTGAAATCAAAGGAAAAAGCTGAAGCTGCTATTTGCAGCTTTGGAAAAATGACTTTTTTTCAAAGCACACGGAGCTACAGTGCTTCTTTAATGAAAAAACCCACTATTTGACTGCTTTTTTTTTCAAAAGCACTTTTACAAAAAAGTTTACCAAACACTCTGCTGATTTATTTCACAGCCGCTTATTCTCACAGCACAGCCGCTTATTTTCACAGCAGTTTTTTTTCAAAGCACAGCAATACCAAACCAGCCCTAACACTTATCTGCTCCGTACTAGATTTCAGAGGAGTCCAAGTGAACCCATACGTACATCAAGACGAGAAATGCAAAGTCATTTATAGTATCAACCTGGGTTGATGACATAATGTATACAGGAAGCAGTGATGAATTGATTGCAGAGTTTAAAGTAGATATGCTGAAGAAATATTAAATGACTGATCCTGTTTTATTATATGACTTTCTTGACATGGGAATTATTCAATGTGAGGATGGATTTGCTGAAAAAGTTTGGTTTGAATGACTATAAACCAGTGAGCATTCCTCCTATTGTGAATGACAAATTGAAAAAAAAATAATGATAGTGAACCTATATATGAGGCTCTTTATAGACAGACTATGGGAAGTTTACTTTATCTGACAGCAACGAGGCCAGATAATAATGTTTGTTGCCAGTCTACTATCTAGATTCATGCACAATCTAATAAAGAAGCATATTGAAACTGGTAAGAAAGTACTCATATGCATATTCAAGGAGCTTTCAAATTTGGAATTAATTAAGTATGTGAAGGGGAAATCTACGCAGTTTTTGTTAGATATTGTGACAATGATCGGGTAATTTTAAAACTTATATGAAAAGCACATAAGATAAGCTTTTCCATTTGTTGCATTTTTTTCATGGGCTTCTGTTAAACAACAGAATGTGGTTTTATCCGCAACTGAAGCTGAATATGTGAGAGTATGAGAGGTTACTATACAAGCAGTTTGGCCTACGTTTGTCTTGGAAGGTTTTGGAGAAATGCAAATATAGATGCAACTCTACTATATTTTGACAATACCTCACCCATTGCAATGACAAGAAATTTGTGTTTGATCAAGGATCAAAACACATCGATGGAATGTATCACTGCATCATTCCTAAAGAACATCATCAATTTTTTTTTTTTTTTTTTTTGTCTGTTAGTAAGTTAAATGGATGGCTGAAATTAGTTTTTGAAGTAAGGTTCAAATGTTGCCAGTTGTCATAGCAGCTGGTGGTGTGAGTTGAGAGAGAGAGAGTAGATTTCCACTTGATATTCACAACTTTGTAGAGAGTTCGTACAACGGTTACTTCTCTTCTCCTTCTTCCTCAATGAAACACTGAGATTTGCAGATAATTTACTTCCATTTTAACTGCATACGTTCCTTCGATTCAGTTCAGAATTAATTCCTAATCATTTATATATAAGTTAATAGTTACTCTCATAAGTGGTATCATTACGATGTAACTAAGTTTTAATCTTGATGACATCATTATTTCATAGTTGTTTGTTATATGTTTAAAAAGTGCATTATCGTCCACAAAAGAATGTAACTAGTAAATCGTGTGAGTGTGTTTCAATGTTATTTAATATCCAACAGTGTGCTAAATCTTCTCTCCTCCAAGTTAAATGTAGCTAGTAACTATTCGTTTTTCTACTTTAACTTGAGATATAGCTAGTCTGTTGGACTTGAACTTATTTTTAATTTTGTTGAATTTTCTACATATATAAAATAGTCAAAACAAGTGTGTTTTAATTGACTTATCAGAGATGCTCTAGTGAATTTCTTCGTGATAAATATTTTGACAGATGAATACATCCGTGTATATTATAAACCAACAATACATGTAGATATTATAAAAAGAAGACGATGGGCGGTTGAATATGTTGATAACGAAAGGGCCAAGATCGTAAGAGAGATATTACAAAAGCTAGCTAGGTGGTGGTACTCAGTATTCTTTATTGCGATGACGATGCATGATTACCCTTTGAAGTTTGAACCCCAAGCCCAAGCGTAGTTTTCCATGCGCAAATACGCTATATATGGATATATATTGGTTGACATGCACAAATACTTCGATATATGGATATGTCTTTGTATCTCAGACTTTCCTCAGACTACATATTCAGATATATGGATATGTCTTTGTATCTCAGACTTTCCTCAGACACATATATTCAAGTTGCATGCAATATTAAGTTAATTTTATAAATATCTAACGCAAGTTAGTAGCACTGACAGAGGTTGAATTTTGTTTGGAACTGCATGCATATGACGACATTTCAATCAGTCCCGCTGCTCTGACATGGATAATTTTCAGCACTCTCGCTCCCTCTGGTCAATTCTCTCAGAAACTTCTTTCAACTTTTAGCCAACTACTTGTCCTTTTGGGCCAACTTGTGTTGCGCATATCTTTGACGAGCATCAGAATCAAGTCCATGACCAGGTTCTTTCTTTTTTATTTTTGTAAAAAAAGACTAGTATGTGGCTTCGTCACGGCAGTTCATCTTTTCAGAGGTTGGAAAGACTTATATAAGCATTTCGGCCTCCTCCTAACCACTATCGTGCGATTCACCTGCGACGGGAATCGAACCTAGAACATGCCATGCGGAATACAATAATACCGGCCTGAAATTCGTCCCCAACCACTTGACCTCCGTCGTGGTGGTTCATGACTAGGTTCTTTGAACTTCTTCAACGGTTGTTATTGGAGGATTGCTGTAGCTTTTTATAAGATTGACGCATGTTGTTTGATGATAATCAGTAATATGGTAAAGCAGTTGTGAATTTAGAAAATCGTAATTTAAAGTGTTTAACGTGTGAAAACAATGTAATTATATGAAACTACTTTAGTTGTGGATAACGATTAAAATGGACGAGTTATGGTGAATGGGATGATAGTGATCGTTGTGGCAGTGGTGTCAACCATGGAGGGTAGGGTAGGGTAGCAGCAGCAATGGTGTGCGGTGGTGTCTGTTGGTGGTGGTGGTGAGGGAATTGGTGTTGGCATCGATGGTAGGGGTGGAAATAGTGGGGAGGTGGTAGCAATGATGACGAGAAGATGGCCGTGGTCATGGCAAAGAGTCAGACGATGGTACGGGGAGGTGGTAACGATGGTTAAAAAGTGAGACGGTTTAGATCATTTGAAAGAAAATGTACCACATCAGTATTTTTCTGAAGAAGATCCAGATTCAGTAAACATAAATTCAGGTTGAGTGTACAAATAAGCATATGTACAGTCACAAATATAAAAACAGAAACTAGAACAGAACTTGTGAACGTCTTTGGGTTTCTGGCTCCACATAAGCATCTTCAAGCATCAGCCTTATTTTGCATTCTTGTACATGTTATCGATCAAATCCTGTGCATCAAAAGAATTTTCACTCAGCGTTTTCACCGCAATTAACATCTTTACATGTAAGAAGCAAGTGACCATAAATGAAGACTCATCGAAATTAATCGGGTGTAATTTTGATCATAAATAACTTCCAGTCAGCACTCTAGATTTGAGCTGAGAAAAAATTGTTGTATCTAAATGGATTATCCGCTTGGATGATCGATGCAACGGTAACAACTATTAACCTCCCTCAACCCGGCTTCATGGGTCATAATGGATAGACGGAAACAAATCATCTATCTAAACAGCCACATTGCATATGCATTCTTAGGTCCCCTATATCAGATATCATGACTTCAAATGAAGCTAAGAATGCTTTTTGGAATGTGTCAAGCGAAAATCAAGCAATGAATGTCCAGTTACCATAGTGGCAAAAGGGTGTTGAACACGGCGTTCAAACTTGACATTATGCGTATGTAAAAAACAAGCATTTAGAAATTTCAGAGAACATAACAGGAATAAGAGCTACCTTGTAGTATTTAAGCAACTGGGGTCTCTTTTTCTTGTATGTTGGAGTGATAAGGTCACGCTCCATGTCAAATGGTTCTGGGTCGAGGTGAACACCTTTTA